CGGAACAGGCAGCAGCTGGAGAACGAGAAGAAGAGGAGAGAGACCGTGGAGAGAGAGAAGGAGCAGATGATGCGGGAGAAGGAGGAGCTGATGCTCAGGCTCCAGGACTACGAGCAGAAAACCAAGAAGGCCGAGAAAGGTGGGCCCGCGCTCTCCCGCGGCAGACCCTCTCCGCACAGGCGGGGCGCATGCGCACCGCCGGGGAGTGTCCACCCGGTGCGGCAGCCGGAGCAGAGACGCGCAGAGAGACGGGGCGCAGTGGGTGTTGGGGTTGGAGGTGGTTCCGGACTTACTGCCATCTGTGCTAAATGCTTTGCGGGCATTATCTTTTTAAAACGTTCCTCAGCACCGGGTGGTGAGTACTGAGTTGTCCCATTAAACCTTAAGAGGATGTTAAGCGTCAGCAGGTAGGGTAGGTTCCCTACGATCACAAGGGCAGTGAGTGAGCGCCTGGCGGGGGTCAGGTCTGGGCATCTCAGGAACTGCGCCCTGTAAACACAGAGGGCAGGGGCGCAAGAGGTTCCCTCGTCCTGAGACTCAGGCCACCGCCCCCGCCCGATGCCTCCTCTCCCCGCCATCCCCCACCCCCACCCCCACGACCTGGCCTCGGGACTGGACCGTAGGTCAGTGGCTGGTGTGAGCAGCTCTGGTGCTGTCCCCTCCAGAGCTCCAGGACCAGATTCAGAGGGCCCTGCAGCTGGAGGAGGAGCGGAGGCGCGCCCAGGAGGAGGCTGAGCGCCTGGAGTCCGACCGCCTGGCCGCGCTGCGTGCCAAGGAGGAGCTGGAGAGGCAGGCGGCAGATCAGATAAAGAGCCAGGAGCAGCTGGTAAGGAGTCCCCCTGGGTTTCACGGTGCTGAATTATGGAGATGCCGCCCCTGGGGACTGAAAAAGTGACACCTGCCCGTCCATGATTTCTGTCTGGGCTGTAAAGTGATCTGCCTGCCCGTGTCGAGTCGCTGGCGGGGAGGGGCCCTGCTGGTGGCGGGGCCTGGGCGGCCCCAGCGGTCAGGGAGGGCGTGGTCTCTGACCCCCGGGTGGGCGGGCGGCAAGGAGAGCAGGGACACAGCTGTATTGCGAGGGAGGCCGTTCGCTCACCAATGGCCTCTGTTGAAAGCGGTCCAGAAATCATTTTAGCTGCGCCCCTTCGCAGGCGGCGGAGCTGGCCGAGTACACCGCCAAGATCGCCCTCCTGGAGGAGGCGCGCAGGCGCAAGGAGGACGAGGTCGAGGAGTGGCAGCACCGGGTGAGTGCCCGAGTGCGGGCGGAGCTTCTGGGTGCGGCACGCCGGCCCCGTGGGGGCAGGACCCGGGCCTGCACTAGACCGGCAGGTCGTGTGTCGAAAGCCTTCGGAATGTGTCGCAACGCTCTGCCGATACTGGTTGTCCTTAGACAGAAATCCCCACGGGAACGGGCTTGCCCCTGTGCACCAGGGAGCGCATTGTCGGATTAGGGCAACAAAGAACCACTGTTCGCCTCCACCCACTGTGCTCTGGCCACCCCGAACCGCTCAGCCCCACCGGGCAGCCCCCACTGGGACCAGCCTTAAATCGGGTTAAGCGGGTGCCCCCAGCAAGGAGCCGCAGCGCCTGAGAGAGCCCTCTCCAGTATGCTCCCGACTGCTGGGACACGCACGCTGGCGCCAGGGAACGACCCGGAACTGGGGCGTCTCCAGACTTGGGGGAGGGTCTAGGCTCCGCCCCTCATTTGCTGTGTGGCCGGGGCCAGCAGCCTCACCGATCTGAACCTTATTTCCTTGTCGGAGCTGGGTATCAACCCCCCACTGGCAAGGCTGCTCCAAGGACCCCGCAGAGAGGGTTAGTGAATTGTAGCCTTCGTAGTGAGAACGTGCCCCACCCCGTGTCCGAGAACCTCTCTCCGTCCGTGCCGCTTCCCGCCCACGAGGGCAGCACAGGCCCTGGGGCTTTGGGTGCAGCACCGAGTACAGGCCTCAGCCCAGCTGGGGGCGTTCCTCGCCTGCCCCGCCCCTGCCCTTTCCACACTTGTCTGTGGCAGCCCCTTCTGGGGACACCAGTCCCTCCCCCTCGCTACTCTGCACCCCACCCCCACCCCACATTCTGTGCAGCAGACTTCATTCAGTCCTTAGGCTTTTGGAGAAAGTGCTTATTGTAAAGAATTACGTGAGACAAGTTGGTTATAACACAGGTACAAACTAAGCTCATCTGTGGGGCCAGGACAGCCATGCAGTGGGTGTGACTCAGTGCACGCACCGGAGAGACTGCCGGCAGGACTGGGGGGTGGGTAAGAAACTCCCCGCCCACGGTGCTGGCGGGCGGGGAGGAGCTGGACGGACAACGGCCGCACGAGGGAAAGGGGTGAAGCCACGCACCAAGACGCAACAGTGGCACTTTCCAGCAGCTGAGTATTTTTTCTCTAATAATTTTCTTTTTTCAGAAAGATGTACAGAGAGCATTACTAGGATGATAGAAAAAAAGTTATGACACTTAGAAAAATGTCAGCCCCTGGCACGAGTGTGTCTGTGCCGTGGGCACACTTGGTCACTCACTCACTGGAGGACCGGGAGCCCCAGACCCTGCCGGGGGCCTCGCGGTCCGCCGCAGTCCGTCTCCGCTGGCACGTGTCGCCTGCGGCCTGCCATCAGAAGGGAGAGGCCGGGGCGAGAGAGCAGCAGGTCCTTACTGGCAAGGAGAATGGGCTCCTTTGTCAAGAGACGTGGTTCGCAGGAAGTGGGACAAACGCGAGGTTCTGTGCGAGACGTTCTGTCTGTCCCTTGCTTTCGAAGGCCAAGGAAGCCCAGGACGACCTGGTGAAGACCAAGGAGGAGCTGCACCTGGTGATGACGGCGCCCCCGCCGCCGCCGCCCCCGGTGTACGAGCCCGCGGGCTACCACGTCCAGGAGAGCCTGCAGGAGGAGGGCGCGGAGCACACCGGCTACAGCGCCGAGCTGTCCAGCGAGGGCATCCTGGACGACCGCAACGAGGAGAAGCGGATCACCGAGGCCGAGAAGAATGAGCGTGTGCAGCAGCAGCTGAAGGTGAGGGGCGGGGCGGCAGGGACCCCCGCCTGAGTTCCCCGGGACTCCCACCGGCACCCACTTCTCCCCGGGGCGGGGGGGGCACGGTGGGGGGCTGTGCAGCCCGCCTGACCCACGCTCCTTGCCGTTGCAGACTCTGTCCAGCGAGCTGTCCCAGGCCAGAGACGACAGCAAGAGGACCCACAACGACATCCTCCACAACGAGAACATGAGGCAAGGCCGGGACAAGTACAAGACGCTGCGGCAGATCCGGCAGGGCAACACCAAGCAGCGCATCGACGAGTTCGAGGCCATGTGAAGGCCGGGCTGAGACCGGGCGGGGGGGGCCTCGAGCCTGGGCCCCGCCCAGGGTCACGCAGACTCGGAACTTGTATTTGTAGTTCTCCAAATCTAGACCCCCTCCTCGCGCTCTGTTCCTTTAAAGAGAGAGTAGCTGTTTCCGTGGGAAAAATTCTGGGGCTGGGACCAGTGGAAGCTTCCCTGGTTTATTTTCCCCATATGTATCACTGTGCCAAACGGGCCTGATTTCTGTTGTTGTTGTTATTACTGAATCACTTCTGGTCTTGTGCTTGGAGCAGGGCTGACTGAATTAAGGAGGGAGAGATGCCTATGAAGTCTGAGTAACAAAAATTCCATGCCGGCATGCGCGACACGAGATTCCCTATAATTAAAGAAAACCGCACCGTGGCTTCTATTCTGTGCCATACTTTTTTCTGTATTTGAAATTAGCTGAAACTGATTGATCTGTACTTGATTCTATGAAGGAGGCTGCGCTGCATGTGTCTGTTCCCGGAGGGTGCGCGCGGGGGCCAACGCTCTCACACGCGTGCGCACAGCGGTCCCCTCCCTCGCCGACACAACCCTGCGGTCGCCCCGCCCGGGGCGAGCGCCGCAGGAGGGCGCGCCGCCCTTCCACCCGCTTTTCCTGGTTTCCGTTTTCTCACAGCTAGAAGGCGACCTTGCTGGACTTCCCTAATTGAGGATCAGCTTTAGAGTACAGTATTTATATATAAGCAACAAGATGGGTTTGTAACATTAGTTTCAAAGAGGAAAAGTTTTGTTCTGTATATTTTGTTACCTTTTACAGAATAATAAAAGAAGTACATGTGAAAAAACCCCCACGGCACTCGGTCTGATCCGACGGGAGGGCGGCAGCGAAGCCGGCCGGCGGCTGCGCCCACACCCGTGGCAAAGGGCCCTTTCACACTTTCCGCGCGCCTCGTGCGGAGAAACGGGTCTGCCCATTCGGTTTTCCGTCCGCGCGCCTGGTTTGGAAAGTGCGCCTGCGCTGCTGGTTCCGACGCAGGCCCGAAGGCGCGCTCTCACCTGGCGATCGCTGGCGCCCCCACAGGAACCCGCTCTGCCCCTGGGGGACCCTGAGCCTGTCGGCTGCCGCTGCTGCCGCTCTGCCCATTTATGCCCTCCCTCGCCTGCTCGGCGCTGTCGTTTTCGGCGAAGGTGCCGTGTGCGGATGAACCCCCACCGCAGACGTGAGCGGCCAGGCGCAGCGGTGTGACTCTCCCTGCCAGCTCCATGCCTCTTGGGCTGGCTGTCCCTCTGGGGGCCCGTAGAACTGCCCCACCCACAAGGGGAGTCTACCCCCCCCCCCCCCGCCCAGGGCTCCATGGGGCTGGCTGCCCTGCCTCCAGAAACTTCTGCAGTACAATGGGAGGGCTCAGATACGTGGGGGCTCCTTTTTATTTTCTCGGAAACTACATCACGGGGCCTCGGTTTTCACTGATTGGTAAGCGCTGGGAGACAGCGGTGGTGACCAACATTTATTTGAAATCGGGCCACTTCCCACACCCCTCCGGTAACAGTGGTCACTGCTCTAACTTCCACGGGCACAGAGGGATCTGGAAGAGCCTTCCAGCTGCACCACAGAGCTGCAGGTGGAGACGCGTCACCCTCCAGAGGGCCTTCCCCGCCGCGCAGCCACCGTGCTTCCGCCGAGCCGTGCGTGCGCCGCCGGGACCCGCCACTCACCGGCACCTGGGGTTCAGTGCAGGACGAGTGTCATGTCCGTCCACAGGTTGGGGCTGGAAAGAACTTTCTGCCACTGAAGCTTGGAGTGTGAGCCCGAGCCAGTGCCGCCGGCGGGGTCTTCCCCTGGGATGTGCGTGAAACAACAGGTGTTAGGACACTGGGCCTGGACACCCCCCCCCCCCCCAGCTAGTTAAAAAGGAGGACCAGCAAAAACTGCATAAAGTCGTTTTTCCCCTTGCCTTAAGACCGTATTAAATCACCCGCCACTGGTGAGCAGGAGCCCTCCCCTACCCCCAACAAAGCATGTCCAGAACAGGACAGCTCAGGCCCCCGCCCCAGGGACTTGGGGCGTCGAAAGTCTAAAGCTGCTGGCCTCCCTGATAGGAGTGGGCAGGTGGGGTGGGCCGGCTCCTAACACTTCACCAAGTGCGGGGGTCCCAGACGGGGGCCAGGGTTGCTCAGGAGAAGGGGTCTTGGGTTTGCTTTGGACACTCTTAAGACAAATGGTCACTTAATAGTGAGTCCTGGAGCCCCTGGTCCTCGGTCGGCCTTGGAGGGGAGTGCAGGTGCTTTGCTCGTCACAGCGTTTGGGGGCCACAGCTGGCAGGCAGCAGGAGGGCTGGGGCCCCCAGTCCCACAGGGTGGTCCCCCACAAAAGGCCTGCTGAGCAGCACGGAAGCTTCGCCCTTCTGCCCCACTCCCTATAGACACTGTCTGAACCGCCAGCTGCACGCGTTAGGAAGACATTTTCCTTCAGGGACATAATCCTTTCATGATTCCTGCCAGGGACAAAACACACACTGTGCCCGGCCCATGTTGAGGCCTCTTAATTTTCATTTCTTTAGCAGATCTTAAATAAATCTGCTTTAAATTGTTGAAATACTTGGCTGCATTACTGCTGCACGGCACAGGGAGAACTGGCCGGTGTTCCCCACCTGGGGCAGGTGAGGCGGCTTCGAGGCCAGTTAAGCCACCACCTGCCGCAGGAGAGCGTGACTTCTCTCTCACAGGCACGTGTGAGACGGTCTCTGAGCTCCCAGGACGCACCGGGGCCCAGGGGACATCTCAGGCAGACTTACTGGGACCCAGCCTGGCCTCTCCCAGCAAGCGGTCGCTCACACCGAAGGCAGCCTGGTCCCAGACGGTCAGCTCCAGGCTGGACTGCCTCAGCTGGGCAGGGCTCACCCCGTTGAAGACAAAGGAGTGCTTCCACTGCGGACACGCCTGCTTCTTCAGGACGGGGGACTTCAGCCTCAGCTTCTGCTTGTCCGGCAGAGTGAGGCAGCTGCGGAGGGAACAGATAGATGCAAACCAACCCTGGGTACCTGGCCTGCCCACAGCCCCCTGCCCTCTCGGGGCTTGCTCGTCCGTGAGGCTGTTGGTGCTGAGAAAGGGGCTGCATCAACCACACAGTACAAACTCAGCCCAGGGAAAGAGAGCAGGAGTTGTAGGGTTGGCTAAGTGACCTCCAGCTGGCATGTTCTCAGTTTCCAGCTGAATTCTGCTCCAGGTGCCAGGGTGGTCCTCCCCTGCACCCCGCTCCTCCGCTGCCTACCACCAGGGGGCAGCACACATACTAGACCTGCCACCAAGGACCAGAACGCTGCCCCCTGTGTTATCTACCCCATTTTATCCTCAGGAGAATAAATTCAGAAGGGCCAAGGACCCATACAGATAAACACCAGGGTCAGGACCAGCTCAGCCGTAACCTGACCCGTGGGCAGGCTGCCATTTTCTCATAGTGGCACCGGCTGGGATTTAGCAATCCCACCTGACAGCAGTGTTCGCTTTACTTTTGAGAACAACACACCTGTAGTGAATAAAAATGAGAATGAAGTCCGCAGACTCACCCACCTTGCCGTTACTCTAGGGGAGATGGAAAGCTGGGGAAATACTTGGGGGGGGGGCAAAAAAAACAACTTATCTTGTGGAGGGCGGGCCCTTGGAGTACAGGCTCCCCCTGCTAGGTGAGGGTTCTGGGACCCCATTGGTATCAGTGGACCAGCTGGCGTTGTTGTGAGAGGCTGCATTCGGCCTCAGCACTTTTTCTTTAAAAGATTTTTATTGCGTTTGCCCATTTCACGGTGGGTGATTGACGAGCACACCTGCCCACACCGCACTGAGGGCTCGGCAGTATTTGACCCAAAACGACCTGACCCCCTGTTCCCCACCCTCCCCATTCGCCTGACCTCACTCTGAGCAACTCTCCTTTGTGTCCCTGGATGAAAAAAGCCCTGAAAGGGAAATCTCTTGCTGATGTGGAAGGAGTGAAACAAAAACCAGCAGGAGCACTAAAAGGCATCAAAGTCGATGAGCTCACAAACTGTTCTGAGCAGCAGGAAAAAAAACCTCACGACAGGTGTATTGCACCCAACGGAGAGTACTTTGAAGGTGACTGATGTTTCAACATATAAGAATAAATACACAAGTTTTCATAAATTCTGGTTTTGGGACCCCCTCCCCCATAAACACGACTTTTTCCACGGCCCAGCTGTCAGTGAGTGCTAACTCGCTGCTACAGCGGGACTGGTGAGGCCTGGGTCCCGGTGCAAGGGTGATTGATGTTCCGAGTCTGGCCTCCACGAACTCTTGGAGATCAGAGCCCTGAACGTGACAGGTTGGGTTTCTGCAGGAAAGCTACAGTGCTGCAAGTTTCCCGTCAGGAGCACATTTGTGGCTACACTTCTTGGCGTTTTCTGCAGCCCCGAGGACCACGCCGCATGCACGTATCACAGCTGCCCAGTAAATAGTACTTGATTGCATCTGATACCTACCCCTTAACAAAGGAGTTTAGGGTGCCATCGGACCGCACAGGCAGATTCTGGGCTCCCAGCACCACCAGACAGAGCTGACCGTCACACGAGGGCTCCTCTCCCGTCCCTGGAAGCAGAGCCAGCGTTAGAGTCCGCCCTCCAGCACGCTGCGCCGGCGCCCCGCCCCCCCACCCCCCACCCCCCACCCCCCCACCCCCCACCCCCCCCACCCCCCACCCCCCAGCTGGGAGCTCAGCAAGAAGATGTGTGATGGGAGAGCTCACACCCCAAGAGAGCAGCCGGGAAGTGCAGCAGGGCCACCACGGGAAGCTCTGCAGGCCCTGCCCCCACATTCTTCCCCGCACCACCCCCAGCCTCAATCATGGCGTACCGGGGCAACAAGCTGCCAGGGGTCGAGACCACCCCACGGAGAGGAGGCTGCCCAAGCTCTGGTCTAGTGGGAGCCCGTGGTTGGGGGGAGGGGGCTCGCCGCTGGCCTGCTGACACAGCGAGCTCCTCCGGTGCAACGGGAAATCGCTCAAGCACGGGAATCGCACTTTCTCCCGGTCTTCGCTCCCCACCTCACCTTCGTGCACACCCCACGTCATTGACGTTAGTTAACAAGGACGTGTCACTGGCCCGCTCTCTTGCTGGGCAGCAGCAGCTCATGTGAGTGGGAGCCTGGGCCTGTTTGCATGGAGCCTCGAGGCCCCCCGTGTCTCCCCAAGAGCCAAGAGGGGCTGCAGTGGGGCTGTGTTCACAGAGTGACCAAGCCATGGGGCTGGGAAGCATGGGGCCAGGGTCCTGGGAGCCTTGGAGAGGGTCCCTCGATTCCCTTCCGAGCCCTGGGTTCCGGATAGCCCAATCCCAGGTCTGGCTCCAAGGCTTTGGCGGGATCAGTGGGTGGCCAACAGGAAGTGCTAGGGAACTTGGCCCGCCCCTCAGCCTGCCTGCACTCCTGGCTTTGGGGACAGGGACCCAGGGACAGATGCGCATTCGTGGGGCTGGAGGCCACCTGCCTTCTTGAGCCTCCTGGAGCTTGCTGGGCCCTGCAGGGAGCACGAGTTTGGCCCGGACCGTGAGTTCGCCATGGTTCGGAGAACTGCTGTCTTCGTGCTTCTCCGCCTGCGGGCGAGAGGCGGAGCTCAGAGGCCGGCATCCCCAGCCCATACCCAGCCCATGCCCAGCTCCCAGGACCTCCTGGGACCCTCTGGCTGCCCCAGCTCTGTCCACAAATGCTCCCTCCCCCACTCACCTTGCCCCTGCAAGCTCTCACAGGCCTTGGAGAGCCCTGGGGTGGCGTGGACATGCCCAAGGCAGGCTGCTCGTCCTTCCATGTGTGGGGGCCTCGCTCCCCCCAGTGCCACCCGCAGTGTGGGAGAGGCAGCCCAGCCACCCAGCCGCCCACCCCTCCATACGCAGACGGGCCGTCAGGCAAAGGGGCTCTAAGCCCTGGCACGTTCCCATATGGTAGGTACCGAGAAACCCAGACACAACCTGAGTTTGCAAAAGTAAATAAAACCAAGACCCCCAAGGTTCCACTCAGGTCAGTAAGGATTCGAGCTCCCCTCCCGTGCCAGGGCTACCAAGGGCACTGGAGACCGACAGGGCTCCAGGCTCAGTGCCCAGGGCACAGGGGCGGCCCTGCAGTCTGGGGGACTCGGCCCCTCCCTGTTCCAAACTCCCCGAAGAGGACGCCTCCCTGCCCACTCCGGTCATTTGTGTCGTCACGAGTGATTGTGCCCCAAAGGGAGAGCGGGCAGGGCTCGGAGAGCACAGACTGCCCTCCACTGGCACTCTCTCGCGCCCACGGGGCAGGGGGCATGGGGAAGGGCCTCCCTCCCTCAGAACCACCAGCGGCGGGGAGCAGGCGCCCAGCGTGGGCTCTGGAGCGTGCAGGCCACTGCGGCCCCCCACCCCGCACAGCTCTCCGTGGTCTCCTGGCTGCCCCCCAGGGGCAGGAGGGGGCAGGAGGGGGCCGGAGGGGGCCCTTGGTGCCCAATGTGATAATGCTGCCCCCCCGCTTCTAGAAACCCAGGACAATCACACTGCCCCTCCTGTCAGCACCCAGGCAGGGGGCGGGCCTGTGAGCAGACCCCCCAGGGCACAGATCCAGCACCAGGGTCACAGCAGGAGGGGTGCCTGAACCTCCCACTTCCTGCTTCTCGCCGCTTGCCAGCAGAGGACCAGTCCCCAGGCAGCCCCTCCGTCCGGAGAGCGGGATCTGGGGGGCAGGAGTCGGGCAGGGCGCCCAGCACAGGCCCCTGTGGACCCATGTCCACGGAGCACCGGGGAGCCTTCATGGAGAGTGGGACTTAAGCAGAGTCTTGGGCAGGCCTGGGGCCGGAGAAAGCATCGCCAGTGGCTATTGTGGGTGTGGACCCAGGCTCTGGGAAGAGAAAGCGCCCACCCCGGGGGCTGCGCAGACCACACCCGGCCAAGAGTGGGGGGTGGGGGGAACGACGGCCCCCAGCTGAGCGCCTGCACAGAGGCCTGGTGACTGACGGTCGAAAGGGCGGGGCTGGCACCTCCGCGGTCCTTTCCTAGGAGACAACGGAGCCCACCCTACCTCCCCCTTCACTCCCTCAGATGGACTCTCTTCTCCAGTCTTGGATCCTGGCACAGAAATGAGCAGCGCAGCCGCCCGAGGACCCCCACCTTCCCGCGCCGCTCTCCCTCCCCGCAGAGCCAGCGCCTCGCAGCCCGCCAGACCCCACCCCGCGCAGGGCCGGGAGTCCCCCCGGGTCAGCGCGGCCTCTGCCCTCCCGACAGCGTCCCGTCCAGGCGTGCGCGCCTGTGGTTCCGGCTGCGGGAACCACAGCTCCCCGGCTGGGGTGGGGAGCTTAGAAACCACGCGTTCTAGCCCACACGAGGAGCTGTGGGCCCACCCGCGCGGGGGGCAGGCTGACCAGGGCCGCAGGTCGTGGACTTTGGCCGCAGTGCCATGAGAAGGCCGAGGCCACCTCAGCTGACACTGAGTGACCCTGAATTCGGGGGAAGGGCACAGACCAGCAAGGCCATCTCAGGAGCGCTGGACACCTGGCCTGAGCCGGGAGCCACGTGGGCGACACGGAGGACAGGGCTGCGAGGACATGAACAGGCCCGAGCAGGCTGGAGTCGCCAGGCCAAGCCCCACCTGGAGAGCTCGGTGTGGGCCTTTCCTCCCTAGAAAGCTCCTGCCTAAGAGCCTGGCAAGTGCCACCTTCATTTCGGGTCCCAGGTTTCCCAGGCAGGCATTCCCATCACGGGTCCCCCTGTAAAGTGGGGGTGGGGCAAACCAGACATCACCTTGGCCCGCAGCGGGTGCCAGCGGAAGGCCTGTGTGGCGCTGTCTTCGAAGTCCCACGAGGCCAGAGGGATGATCACTTCTCCGAGGAACACCCTCCGGGCGAGCGTGCCCAAGTGCCACACGGACACCTGCAGGCGCCGGGTCGCCAGCTGGGCGGGCTCCACCTGGTACTGCAGAGGCGGGACAGGGGCGTCAGCCTGAGCTCCCGGGCCCCCCTGCCAGGACGGAGACAGCCCGAGGGGCAAGCACTGTGCTCAGAAAACTAGACGGGACACTCTGGTTCTAGAGCCTCATCCGCCATTGGACGGCCCCTCCCCCCCGGAGTGTCTCGCTGGCGTCCCGCCCCAGGCTGTCCGGACCACCCCACCCCTGCCCCTCCTCGCCTTGCCCCCAGCTGTCGGGCCCCGGGGTGCTAAACAAGTGGTGACTGGAAATACCGATTTCTGCAAAACTCCGAAAGATCACTCAGCTTCTCCGCCCTCCTGTGTTTTCTGCCTCGTAAGCACTTATGTAAAGAGTGTGTCCGGCTGTTCTGAATTTAGAACAGGCTGGGGACACTGATTCTTTTAAATGTCTCTGGGACGTTTTCCAGGACAACCGGAATATTCACAACATACTGGATGAACGCAATGTGTACAATTTTTAGGTGATTTCTCCAAGATTCTGCGTCCATTTTAGATAAGTTAAACCTTAAAAATCAAATTGTATAATTAAAAATTCATCTAAAATGTAGTTCATCTAAAATGTAGTTCATCCTCAATTTTATCTTTCCATAAAATGTAAAATGTATATCTACCTCTGTTTAGCACAAAATACCATAATTAAATTTATAGGCGATTTTAGATATCAACTTAAAATGTGTGAAGGGGACACAGAGGTTTTCAAAATTCTGGGGTTGTTTTTTAAAGATTTTATTTATTTATTTTTAGAGAGAGAGAAAAAAAGGGAGAGAAACATCAATATGTGGTTGCCTCTTGCATGCCCCCTACTGGGAGCTGGCCCCCCCAAAAAAACCCAGGCATGTGCCCTGAATGAGAATTGAACCAGTGACCCTTTGGTTCACAGGCTGGCACTCAATCCACTGAGCCACACCAGCCGTTCTTTTAGCAGGTCTGCGAGCAAAACCACTTGCTACCAGAGGGGTCCCAGACCAGCTGCATCTCAGGCCCCAGCCACACCCGCTGAATCACAGTCCACTCTCTTTTTTAATCCCGAGGGGATTGCCACACACACACACACACACACACACACACACACACACACACACTTTGAGAAGGACTGCTAGTCTGCTGTGGGTTCGATAAGCCTCAGTTCCCCTGAGTACCGAGGGTGAAGGAGGGTGCTGATCCCGAGCTCAGGGGGTATGTGAAGCACTGCGCCACAACAGGGGCAGAGAAAACAATGGCTGGTATTGTTTAACAAACGGTACCCTTGTACCAGCCACCCAGATAAATGTCCCTTCTCCCCAAAGGAATCAAACCAAGCCCTGTCCTTTCTAGTCTTGACACATGGGGTCCCCAGGCTTCTCCACCCCAATTGAATGCGTCTGGACTGTCCCCCCAGGCCGGGGCCTCCCACGCTTCACCTGCAACCCCCACACATAGAACCCACTGCCCCTCCTCCGACCCGGGGCGGGGCAGCCTCTCCGCATCTCTGCCCTCAACCACAAATCAGAGTTGCCAGCGCCGAGGAAGGTGAAAACCCAAACAAGTCCTCCAGAAATTTTTTTTCATAAAACGACTGGTTTTGTTTTTTTTTTCTGAAACCGAGAAGAAGCCTGAGTTTGCCAGGTCTTACACTCAAGACGCACTTTTACAAAGACGGTGGTGACCTGTATTGGAATCCACAGGGCATCTGCTCGAGAGCGCCTCCCTGAGGGCTATCAAAACGCGACAGGACAAACTGGTTTTAAACATTGAGAGGCGCCAGGTTCTTTTCATTGTTGTTGTTACCATTGACTTGGAAATCATTAATTGGAAGTCCCGCAGACTCTGCACTTTTCCTGTACAAAGGCTGACATTTATTTTTTTACCACCTCGCCACTGATTGACAGGGCCCCGCAGAACGCACGAGCGCCTGCGCGCAGGTCTCACGCACGCAGCGTCTGGAAGAGGCCACCGCTGGACTCTGGCCCCCTGCGCCCGGCCCAGGGTGGGAAGACAGCACGTGACTGTCCGTCCCGCAAGTACCTTCAAGGTCTCCTGAAAGGTCGGGTCCACCGTGTTCTTCTGGACGCTGGTCTTGCGCTTGCCCTGGGAGGATCTGTCAGGCAGCAGATAGGTCTTCACGTACCTGGCGGGCCAAAGGCAGACAGGGCGGAGGGAGCTCAGGGGGCGGTGGGCGGGAGGAGAGGAACCCTGCGTTTACGCTGCGCGCTGCGGCCTTGGGCGTTGACAGAAAGGGCTTGGTGGCCCCCGGGGACAGTGAACAATGACATGCTGGGCACCCAGCTTGTTTACACTGTCTCTCTCTGGCCATCACCTTCTGGAATGTTCCTGGGGGAGGTGATGCTGCCTGCTTTCCTAGCGCCCCACCCCTGGGATCTGCACGGCCGTCACCTGCCACTGGGGAGTGACCGTGGAAGCAGGGGCTTTCAGGGCTCCGCAGTGGCGGGTTCTTGGATCCACCAGGATGGAGAGGCCGTGTGCCAGTTTGTCCTTCCTCCACTGCCAGCCCACCCCTCCCCCCCAAATACGTGCAAATGGAAAGCGTTCTTCCCCTTGGCTCTTCCCTGGGGGGAGGGCCTCCCAGCCTGTCCCGACTGCTGAGGCCCCCTGTCCCTGAGCCCCCTCTGCTGACCCTGGGGGGGCCACGTGACAGAGGCCGTCTCTCCGACTGCACTCTGCCCGGCCCCCAAAATCCTGTTCTAGGTTGATCCCTCCACTGGGTCCGAGCCTGCCCTTCCTGGCCCCTGCAGCGGCTTCAGTGGTGGCCATGCCCCTGCTCGCCCAGGCCCTGCCCCACAGGCTAGGACCAGGCTCAACTTTCCCAAAGCAAAAGAACAGCCGCCCTTCCTTGAGCTGGGTCCCTCCTGGAGCTCCAGGCTGGGGCCTCTTCCTCCCCGTCAATCAAAGTTCTCGGGAAAGTACCCCGGGGCTCATTGCCACGGGTTCCTCACTGTTCATTAGTCTTCGCTAATTGGTCATTGTAAGATCTCACACGTGTAAAACAGGATGCATAAAATATGCCTACATCGCTGAAAGGATTAAAAGAAAACACACACCCAGTCTCCTGTGTCGAGACGCCGGCTTCCTCCCTCCCCTGCCCACGGGGTGTCGGGTCCGTGGGAGCGGAGCGCCGGCGTCTCCGAGCGTCACTGCAGGGCCGGTCCTCCCTAAGGCTCCGTCGGTGTTTCGCTTCACGCGTCTTGATGGGCCCTTATTTGGTATATGCACATTTGTAATTTTATGCCCCCTTGCTGTACTGAAGCTTTCATTAATATATCACGTCCTTCGTCCTGTGGAACCTCGCTGATCCGGTTTCGTCTGACGCTAGCGTAGCCGCCGCTGCCCTCTCTCGCTTGCTGTCCCCACGGAGCGGCTCCTGTTTGTGTCACTGGGTCTGCGGGGAGCCCCTCGTCGGCGACACGCAGTTGGAGCCCATGGGTTTTATCCATTCTGCCGATTTCCGTCTTTCCACTGGAGGGTCTAGTTCATTTACAGGTACAGTCACGGCTGTTTTCCGGCATTTGTCACTCGTGTCCGTGTTCCTCCCCGAGTTTGTGTTCCCCGTTTCCAGCAGCGTGATACTCTCGCATCTTTTTTTTAAAAGATCATTTATTTATTTATTTTTAGAGAGGGAAGGGAGGGAGAAAGACAGAGAGAGAGAAACATCAATGTGCGGTTGCTGGGGGCTGTGGCCTGCAACCCAGGCATGTGCCCTGACTGGGAATCGAACCTGCGATGTTTTGGTTCACAGCCCGAGCTCAGTCCACTGAGCTACGCCAGCCAGGGCTACTCTTGCATCTTTAGTCGGCTATTTTACAGTGACATACTTAAATTCCGTTTTATTTCCTTTTGTATATGTCCTAGAATGGTTTTCTTTGTGGTTACCAAGGGGACTGCACTTACTACCCTAAAGTTAGACACTCTGATTTGAATTTGCAGCGTTTGAGCTTCGATAACGTCCAGACTCCGCTCCTTTTCAGCCCCATCCACACCTCTCCCCACCGTCGATGCCACACGAGGACACTTTCCACACTGCGTGACCAAAATCACAAACGAATTCTTTGACATGCACTCATCTCTTAAATTCTGCCAAAGACCAAACGTGACATTACAAAGCAAAGTTACAATAAGAAGAGACTAATAATTCTTTACTGCATTAGTCCCTTGAGTCACGGGAGAAACAAAAAGTGGAATCACATGCAGGTACTATCGCCACAGTAGCGCCAGCTTTTACCATTGCCTGTGTCTGTACCTTTATCGAGACCTTTATTTCGGACCAGTGTCCTTTCATTTTCCCCTGTGGGGTTCCCCAGCACCCCTCGCGGGTCTAGCAGGGACAGAGCCCACCGGCCTTCGTCTGTCTGAGAATGTCTTCATTCCCAGTCACTTTGGAAGAGCAGTGTGGCTGGATACAGCGTTCCTGGCTGTGGGGTTTCCTTCTTCCAGCACGTTGACTACACTGACCTTCTGGCCTGTAAAGTTTCTGGTGAGAAATCCTCGGATGATCTTCCTGAGGACGCACTTCTCTCCTGCCCTTGCAGGATTCTCCCTGTGTCTGCCTTTCGGGAGTTTGTCGGTAAAGTCTCGGTGTGGGTCTCTCTGAGTTCGTCTTACTTGGAGCTCAGCGGGCTTCTCTGGTGTTTGTGCTCATGTCTTTCATAAAACATGGGACGTTTTCTGCCATTTCTTCAAATGTTCTGCCTCTTGCTCTCTCTCTTCTCCTCCTGGGACCCTCACTTGCCTCTGCTGGTCCACTCGACAGAGCCCCTCAGGTCCGTGAGATTCCATTTGCTTTCCTTCCATCTTTTTTCTGTCTGCTCCGAAGACTCAACAACTCCCATTGACCTTGCCTCGGATTCGCCGGTCCTTTCTTCCTGTCGGCTCATACCTGCCCTCCAGCCCCGCCAGTGAATTTTCCAACTCAGTTATTTGTGTTTTCAGCTCTGGCATTTCTTGTTGGTTTCTTTTTAGGTTTTCTGTCTCTTTCTTGATACTTCCGCTTTGCTCGTGCATCATTTTCTTGACGTTCTCCACATCTTCCTTTAGTTCCTTGAGCGTCTTTAAGACGGTGTTTTAAAGTCTTTGTCCAGTAGACCTGCCAGCAGATCTTTTTTTAGGGATTGTCTCTTTTGATTTATTATTTCCCTTGGAATGGTCTATACTTCTCTGTTTCTCTGTATGTCTTGTTATTTTGGTTGAACGCTGGACATCTGTATCTAGTAATGTGTTAACTCTGGAAATCATAGTCTCCCCCTTTCCCAAGGTTAGCTGATTTTTGTTATTGTTTTGTTTTTTGACCCTCGCCAAGGATCAGCCTGAGATGCAAACTAATGGTCTTCTCAGGTTTTTTTTTTTTTTTTGAGCCTGCAGCTTTTCCTAGGCATGCATATTTATTTTCTAGTTTTCCTTTTATACAAGGTCTGTCCAGAAGGTATCCAGCCATGTAATATGAAAAGTAAAGACTTTTATTGAAAAAGACACAAGAGACAAGAAACACTGTACACAGGACAATGACGCCTCAGTCCCCTTCAAAGGAGGCACCTTGGGACCTCACACAGTTCTCCTAGTCACCATCAGCTGTCCCATCGTGTTTTCCTGAATCTCATCAAAGGTCTGAAATCTCTTTCCTTTCAAAGGTGATTTTAGTTTTGGGAAAAGCCAGAAGTCACTGAGCACCAAATCTGGACTGTAGGTGTGCTGAGCCACCTGGGTGATTTGATGTTTTGCCAAAACACTGCACAAGACGTGATGCATGAACAGGTGCATTGTGGTGATGAAGCTGGCAATCACCAGTTGCCCATAGGTGTGGCCTTCTGAATCATCCGAGTAGTTTCCGCAGGGGAATATTCAAGCTTAACACACAATTTGATGCAGATTCGTTGCTCTACTCGCTCAGTCATTTTGAATGTGACGGCCACACAGTACACATGCTCACTCAGTGGCATCTACCACCCCACTGACTAGTACAGTGAAGTCGTCATTGTTCACACATGAGCATTCCAGTCCACTCTCCTTGGCTGCCGGGTTACATTGATGTCGTGCAAACCGTTCTTGTTATATTAACAATGGTTGAACTTTTTCAGGACAGACCTCGTATGAAGTTAATTTTGAATGCCCTAGACTGTAGTGTTTGGTTTCCAAGAGGAGAAAAAATGAGAAAGGGAGACAAACAAGGGCACTGGCCCTTGGAAACCCTGGGAAGTCGCATGGGTCAGAGGACGGCCCGGACGGCCACAGTGGGCGGAGATGAAACAATGGCTGTGTGCCTCTCTGTCCCTGCCCGCTGTGGCAGAAGCAGCGATCAGCGATGGGAAAACACAGCCCTGCCAGCTGGAGCACAGGGTCCTTTTTGCCCAGCCCAGCTCCCGCAAGCTCTGTGCAAACTCCTGCAAGCTGCGTGCAAGCCGCTCCAGGACACGTGCCTCCAAGGGGTTGGGGGTGGAGGGTCGGTACCTGGTACTGTGCCAAGAGCTGAAATTGACCAACATTAACTGCAGTTTACCATGGAAGCCTTACGCTGCAAGCCTTCACAAGACTCAGAATCTTTACATCAGGTGCTTCTGCCTGTGTAGTTATTGTCTCTGTGGGCAGAGGGATTCCTGATGCCTCCTACTTACTCTGCCATCTCTCAGAGGCAGGAAGTCCAGAGAAAGGAAACCCTCAGTGGCTGATACGTGGATAAAACGTTGATTAGCTTGGTTACTAATTAAGGAAATGCACACTAAAATAATGATGCAATACCATTCTTATCTCTCAGTTGGAAAAAAATCTAATCTGTTTATGGATTGTGCGAGGCAAGATTTTAATGTTACTTTTCCTATATCGAAAGTCAAATTTTCCAGCACCATTTGCTGAAGTTCATCTTTTCTGCAATGATTTCTAATAGCCTCTTGATTATGGAAGTTCCCATCGGTGCTAAGGTCTGTATTTGGACTTTTGATCCTGCTCTACCAACCTGCTTGTCTAGCTTTGCATCAGTAACACACTGTTGAAATTACTGCCCCTTTATAATAATTCTTCATGCAAGTCTGTTTATTTCATGCCTCTTTTTATTTTTACAACTGTCTTGGTTACTCTTGGACTTTCCGTGTAAACTTTAGAATCAGTATGTCTATCATCTTAAGTGGAAGCTTAGCAAAAGAAACTTACGGATTGCACTTCTTCTTCCTCTCCTCTCCGTACGCCAGGTTCCTACAGGACTTGATGCAGACTTCCAGAGAACGGGTTTTGAAGCAGTATCGGAGGGCCAGCTCTACTTCCCCGGTGACGTCAGCATTATCAAAATTGCCGATCTCTGTGCAAGCGCTATTAATGCTAATTAAACTTCCCTGGAATAAAAAGGACAGATATAATAAACGACTTCACAGTTCATCGATCCTTCCGCCGTTCTGATTCCAGATATCAGATGAATCAAAATGCACACGGAGCGTGCATCCTGACTCACGTTAAGTCAATAATGTGCTGGCTTGCTCTTTGCCAGAAAAGTTGCCACACACTCTGTTCTAACAAGATGGGGAGCCCTCGGAAGGTCCTGTCTTGCCCAGACACGGTCTCTGCCCAGCAATCAAGGCACACAATCTTATTCTTAAAAAAAAAATCTTAATCATGTCACGAGGATATGTTTTATTGCTTTTAGAGAGAAAAGGAAAGAGAGAGAGAGAGAGACATTGTTCCATTGCCTCCTCCTATATGTGTCCCAGCTGGGATCAAACCTGCAACGTTTCAGTGTACAGCACGATGCTCCGACCAACGGACCCACCCGGCCAGAGCTGAGCTGGCCTTTTTAAATTTTGCTGAAATGCTCCCCAAATAGTGCTTGCTTTAATTTCACACTGATTTAACTCTGCGGGATGTTGAGCTTTCCCCTTATGTATTGCCCATTTGTGTGTCTACGTTGGTACTAATGTGAGATTCCGTAAGCTTTTCTTGCCCCCAATTTCCAGTTCCTTAGAGAAGGGAAATGTTTCTTGGGGTAGGGCCACGCCTGCGGGCAGAAGCAATCCTGGGTTGTTTGCTCTGTGGGCGTTTGGTTTCCTCAAACAAACACTGCTTGGGTCTGCAGGGAACTGGTTAGGATTAAACACTGATGATTCAGTCTCCTGCGGGGGGAGTACACTGGGGGCGCACTCGGAGAAGACTGGAAGAGAGGATAGAGCACAGAGACAGACACTGAGGTGGGTGCACATACCTGCACCCCCTCACCCCCCAGCCGTCTCCCCCCACCCCCTGACTGTTAAGGCTTTCTAGGTGCCCACCGGCCCCAGGTGAGTGAAGCTGGACCAGGGGGTGGGGTCAGGAGAAGCACTCAGTTTAAGGAGTCAGTCAGCCCCGGGGACTGTACCAAAAGCCTGGTCTTTGACTCCCTCTATAACCCTGTTTTCCCTTCGGGAAATGACCATGGCACACAGCAGACTTTCAATAAATCACAGCTGTGACAAGGATGAATCCAGCCTTTCGGCAAATATTTAATGAGTCCCTCGTAAGGGGCAGGCGCTGCTCTGGGCACTCGGGAGTCACAATAGGCGGTCAACTCCAGATAAGCCGATTGCATAGCCAAGGTGATAAGAAGATGATTAAACACAGAGCAGGTGAGGACAATGGGCAAGCAGGGGGCTGGCCACCCCGAGAAGGTGACCCTGGAGCAAAGACTCGAAGGAAGGCAGCGAAAGAGCTTGGGGCCAGGGAGAGGGAAGAGCCACAGAAGCAGCCCCAAGCAGGTGTGTGCCTGATGGGGCCGAGGGCCGGCGAGGGCAGTGAACAGAGGGCAGTGGGGACAGCTGGGTGGGGCTGGCCCCGTGACCCCGGGGCCCCTCTGTGGGGCGGTCTCCGCCTGCGTGCTGGTTTCCCGGCACACAGACACAGGACTCTGACTCGAGGGGAGCTGAGACTCCAGTCCAGTGGGACCCTGGGCAGTTTGGGGACGGCTGCCCCTTGGGGGCCCACAGAAGGGTTTGCCTCTGCAGTCAGTCTTGTAAAGGTTCCAGCGGCTGGGACCCGTGGGGTCCTTCGTCACCTGGGCAGAGGCAAACGACCCGGGATCTCACAAGAGCCTCCCCGAGGCGGCCCCTAGGGTCTCCCCAACTCACACCCACCATAGGCTTCAACCACAGGACAGAATGTTCTAGAGAGGCCCTTGCCACCTGGCCCTTAATACCTTGATCTTTCTGAATTATTCTCAAGTATAAACAGCACCTCGTCCTGAAGCAACACACCAAGCCACCGTCCAGCACATGCTCCCTGAGAGCTGCCCCAGCAGGGCCACCCCAGACCCACAGCCTCAGGGCGCCCGCGAAGCAGAGCGCCAGGCCCCGCAGCGGCAGCCCGCCCCCTGTATGTCCCGGGGCAGGCGGCTGCACTCGGCCGGAGCTGGGAGGGACCCACAGGAGGACGCGTGTGAACCGCACAGCGTTTGAGAGAGCCCTGGTCCGTGACCAATGTGGATGCGCTGCCATGTTGCAGGACGGGGTGGAAAGTGCAGGACACTTTCCCAGGAAGCATGCGCCCTTTGGGAAGGGGGCCCCTAACCCGGGGCGACCCCAGCGCGGGCGTGGCGCCCAGACCAAGGCTGCCGACAGAAGTGCAAGGGAAGCTGATGTGCAGGTGACATTCTCTAGGGGTCACGTTTTTAAAAAAGGAAAATAATTTTAATACCACATTGTATTCATGAAATACAGCCAAAATACTATCGTTTCAACAAAAGTCAATATAAACATTAGTGAGACGTTTTACATCTTTTATATCTCAGTTTGGACCAGCCATATTTCAAGCGCCCCGCAGCCCCCGGGACTGACAGCTACCGGCCTGGACAGCGCAGCCCGGGGCTGTGAAAGGGGCGGCCTTGGTGACGGCCGCACTGCCCTGCCCGGTGTGAAGCCGCCGGGGCCCCACCAGGGTTTCTCAGGCGTCATTGCTTTCTTGTGACATCGCAGGCCCTGACCTGGTAGGCGAGGGTGGGGCGAAGGGTCTGGCTTCCGACGAGCTCCCGGTGACTCGGCGCTGCAGAGCCCACGTTCGGAGCCGTGGGGGCGTCACAGCGGAGCCGTGACGGGGCAGCACCAGGATGAAGGCAAGGGACAGGAGCTGCTGGCGGGCAGTGGACGCGGTCAAGGACATCGGCTATCCTTCCCTGCATGGGGAGGCCTGCTCCTGCCAGGGTGTCCGAGGTGCCCCTGGACATTCATGTGGACAGGGAGAAAGCGTCCCCGTCTGAAACAAGCACCATTTCCCATAAGAAACACAACCCCCGAGGCACAGAGGGGTTCAAGGTCTTACTCCGGGTCCGCACTCCTCGCCACTGAAGGGGCGCAAAAGCAAGCCAAGAAGTCGGTTTCTAGACGCTGAGTCCCTAGCCTCAGTGTCACGCCACAAGTGTTCTGCATTCACTTCACGCTCAAAGCCCTGCCGTGACACAGAGGGAGCAGCTCTGGTGCTCGTGTCCTTGAGGACCACTCTGAGGGTCCGAGAGTTTCTGTGGCCAGGTAAAGATCACTGAGAGAGCCGTGGCTGTCGCCGAGGCCACGTGACCCTCCCCCGAGGGTCTGTCAGCCAGACCACCACACCACAACTGCAGGCAGGACATGAGCACCCGTTTCATGCTTTTGAATAAGAAAACGAATCGGTCTAAGGCCTGCCTATAAACAGACACCACGCTGAACACATCGCAAAGCGACCTGGGGAAAGAAGACCGACGGTGGGGTTAAACTGCCTGATTTCAAAACTTCCAGCAAATCCATCGTAATCCAGACAGGGTGGCCTTGATGTTCCAGGGCAGACAAGGGGAAGCAGAGCAGGACAGAGAACCCGGAGAAAGTCCCGCACTTTTTCCAACAAAGCCCCCGCAGTCCACGGAGAAATAAGAGGGGGTTTTTGTTTGTTTGTTTTTTCAGTGGTGCTGGAATACCTGGGAGTCCACAGGGGAGAAAACGAACCTCCACCTCTACCTTACACCATGCACAAAAACGAGGAGTTGGATCAGGACCTACACATACAAGCTAGACTTTTGCGACGCTTCTAGAAGAGAACACAGAAGAATATCTTCAGGACTAGGGAGTAGCCAAGACAGAGAAATAACCACGAAAGAAAAAGTTGATCAATTAAACTTCGTCAAAATGAAAACCTTCTCATCCAAAGACACCATTATCTATTATTAATTACTCTCTGTACGTACGTGAAAATGTTCACGCCGAGATGTTTAAAAACAAGAAAAACCACCACCAAGGACGGCGAGGTTTGCCCAGCTCCCAGTCCAAGTAAAATCATCTTTTCAGGCCCTTTGGTCATGTTCCACTTTATCCCACACGGGACAGCACTCACGCCGACCCCTGCCCACCAGTCCCATTCGACATCGTGACGACAACCGCACCTCCTGTGTCAAGGGCATCCGACGGAGGCTCACCTGTCTCGAGCCTCCTGAGAATAAAGGGCCGGGCGTTGGGTGGGGTAAGAGATTCTCTTGCTTCAGAACAGGGTTAGCAGGGCGTTTGGGACTCTCCGGATTGAGAGACTGGAGGATGTCTGGCGCACTGACTTTCTGGAAGAGAAAATACAAAGTTAATAATAACACAGTCCGCACCCCAGTCGGACCTTGTTCCAATGGGGTGACGTCAGCACGTACAGCCTGCGGCGGGCATCTGCTGCCGGACGCAAACCCCCGGGTGCGGAGCAGGGGGCGCCCTTCCGGCGGGCAAGTGCACGCATGCGCACGCCCTCGGGGCCGCGGGCGGACCTGGTCAAGCTTCGGGAGGTTCACGGGCAGAAGTGCGGGGGCTGCCCATGGGTTAGTGCAAGTCTTTAGGAAATCCAAGTCCAGGTCTTGGGCCTAATAATGACCCTGGCATTTAATCCCATGAGATAGCATATTCACCGAATAGGCGGAGTTTTAGCTCAGAGAAAAACAGGAGGGAAATCAAAGTATATCTCTAAGTCTTATAAAAATGCTTCTTACAAGAAGTGAGCGCTGCTGGGATGCACACAGCTGTGCTCTCCAGTAGGGCAGCCACCAGCCACCTGCGGCCATTGAGATCCCAGTTCCAATGAACTGACAGCAAGTAAAATGAATAAATTCAGCTCCTTGGTGGTACTGGGCATGTTTTGAGGGCTCGGGAGCCCACTGTGGCCGCGGCCAGGGAGTTCTGCCGGTGCCGGTACCGACAATAACCACACGGGCGAGGTGGGCAGAACTCTTTCCAGCTGGAGATAGAAAGTTCCTGAATCAAGGCTTTTGTCTGTTTTTGGTTTTGATGGCTTAGAAGTAGGACTTGAAAGTACCACAATCACACCACAGTCTTAATTTTCAGGGATAAAAAACTAAGTGAGAGGTTCAGAGAAGAAATGAAAAAAAAAAAAAAGAATTGCCCCGAATCATTGTTTTTGCCCGCCCTCCCTCCCTCCGCAGGACAACAGCTCAGTTCCGTCAGACGCGGGCTGAGCGGCACCCCATCCGCACCCACCACCCCCGTCCACACCCACCACCTACATCCTGGGGGCGGGGCTTAACGTGACCGCTCACTCGGGTATCGGAAAAATACCCAGGCTGGGCTTGGCCAGTAAGACACGCTCTGAGCAAAGTTAAATCCCGGCTGAAAGGTAGCACCCCTCTCCTGGGGCCATCAGAAAGGTCGATCGACGCTCCTTGGATCTGAGGACCAAGTGCTTTCGCGGTTGAAACCCGAAGCAGCTGCGTCCCTTCTCTGGCTGCTCAGCCTTTGAGGCGTGGCCAGCAGGTGGCGGCGTGCAGCGAGCGCCAGGCCAGCAGTGAAGCGTGGGGATGCTTGGGACGCCCTATCACGTGCAATGACGTCAGAACCGGGAAACAGGCAGGTGCCCGAGCTTTGCCGGCGCCTCTCCTGGCAGACACTACAGGTGCGGCCCCTGTCTTAGGGGCCTGGCCCTGCCCCGTCCTACCACAGTACACTCTCGGCCATCTCCCTGCCCCATGTCCTCTTCTTTGATGGGCCACTAGTAGCGCAGACCTCGCAGGGCTGTATTAAACCTGAGGAGTGGGGCCTGGTACACCCTTGACCCCTCGTGTTAGCCTCCGAGGCTCTGTCCCATCCAGACGAGGGTGAGAACCATGTGTGCGTCCAGAACCGCCTTTCTGGACCCTTCCCTTCAGCAGCACCTCCCATGCCCTCCTTGCGCAGGGCATACGACGCAGACGTGAAGAGTCTGGAACCTGGAATCCCACAGACCTGGGTCTGCCCCGGCCCCGCCTTTATGAGCTACGGGACGTTGGACAAGCTGGTTCACCTGGTTCACCTCTCACTGACACTCAGGTCCTCGATCTGCGTCACGGGAGGAGTGCTACCTTTCTCGGGGTTCCTGCAAGACTGACGTGTGGCAAGCACGGAACGATCATCACTGTCCCCCCAAACACGGTGCTCCCGGAGCACACGGTAACCTCTCCGGTCTGCCGAGGCGGGCACGGCCGCCAGCCGGGGCTGGCCTGCACCCTGGCAGGCCGACAGAAGCACGCTTGTCTGCACCTCGGGGCTGCAAAGGCCTCCCGCATGCGTGTCCCCAGCCCGGAACCTGCGCCCGCGGCGCGGTCCGAGGGCCAGCAGCGCCCGAGCTCCTTGGAAATGTCTCTGACATTCTGCCCCTCACGCCCGCCCCGGATCCACCGAATCGGAGTCGCTGTCCAGCTCCCCAGTGACTCAGAACACCCCGAGGTCCGGCTGCCAAACCAAAGCTGCCCACCACTCTGTGGTCACATAACCGGGGTCATGTGACCTAACATCTCCAAGCCTCAGTTTCCCTCGATGTAACAGAAGGGAACATGGAGCCGAGTGCCTGCCTCATGGGGTCGGGTGAGGATGGAATGGGACCGTCCAGGTGAGGCTTTTAGCTCAGAGTCCGGTGCAGAAGGAGAAACGGTGGCAACTGAGACCCCCTGTGTGGATAACTTAGACAGCAGTCCAGCTTCCACATTGTCTCGGGGGTCCTTACAAGAAGCCTGCACCCTGGAAGGACAGGGGTGGCCTGGGGCTCGGGGGCTCGTGGCCCTGCCCGGAGTGGAGGGCAGCGGAGACGGACAGGACCGAAACCTGGAGTGTGTCTGTACAGTCCCCGCGGGACAGTGAGGCCAACCGCCGCCCTTCGCCTAAAGCACAGCCTGTCTGTGGACCTCTCGGACCGGGTCACAGAGGAGAGGGGCCGGTCCAGCCAACCAGCACAGTCACAGCAGCCCTGTCGACAACCAGCTGGTGGCACCTTCTGGGTCACCTCTACTGGAGCAGCACCCAGGGGTTCTGATCTAAAGCATTTCCGGTGTGGGGACCCTGGGGGGAAAGCCAGAGCGATTCTCTCCCTCAAAGTCCTTCCTAGCTGACACCTCTCCCGTGGGTTAGAGACTTGTGGGGAGAGTCGCCCTGTGGTTGAGTCCGATCACCCAGCACTGGTTCCAGCCTTGACAGAGGCCGGGACGGGTCTACGCAGAGGGTGTTGGGAGCAGGAAGGAGGACTCCTCTGACTCTCGGGGAGGGACCCGCAGACCCTGGCACGGCCGGGCAGTCTCAGCCCCGCGGGGGCCCGTCGCCTCGGAGGTGGCCCTGGAGCCGGCAGGGAGCTCCGGGCACAGGAGGGAGCCCCAGGGCTCGGAGTTGGGCCGGAGTCTTCCCCTGTTCTGAACTGTTTTCCGAATCGACCTTGGACTCTCACCTTCACGTGGCCTCCGCACAGAGAGGGCTCTACCAGGAGGTCTCCCACACTGCTGGTGTTGAGTTATAGAAGGAAAGGAAAGATAAGCCTGCAGAGAAACTAGGCTAGAGAGCAGTGTTGCGGAATACCCTGGCGGTGACATTGATGGCCGTGTCCGACTGGCTCCTCCTCTCCGGCCGGCCGGCGCCCTGCCCGGGGCTCGTGGTCAGGAGCTGCTTGTCGGAGGTCACGTCGTTCTGGGACTTGGACAGCTCTGGAAGACAAGTGCCAAGGGTGACAGGTGGGTGCACACAGCTGTGCCAACACGGGGGGGTGCCCTCCTTGGGGAGCCCCTCAACCACACACGGTGGGGCCGTGAGGGCAAGCGAACAGAGGGGCGAGGGTGGCGTGCGCCCGACACCGAGCTCCGGGCCCTGGGGGCGTGTGGACAAACCCGGGAGTCCCCAGGCGCCGCGTGCTGGGCTCGGGGCCACCATGGTGTGCACAGGGCAGAGCAGCTGGGTCCCTGAAAGGCAACTGCGGGACCACCGCCTCCGTGGGCCGAGGGCCACCCTCAGGGCGGGCGTCACAGGAGGGCCTTCTGGGCCAGCCCGCCTTGCGCTTGGGCCGCGTGTCAGAGGTACGACTGTCCAGACACAGGGAAGGTGGCCCACGCAAGCAGCCCGTGTTTTGGGGGGTCCTTACGAAGATTTCACGATGCACTACAACTTATTTTGACTTCTCGAAGAGAGGTGTCCTTGTAACTATTTCAGTAAGCGACACCTAGGACGATGCCCTGAAGCTGGGTTGGTTTCACCATGTAACGGAGGTCTGAGTAAAGGCGGATGAATGCCCCGCAGGGAGAGAGCGGCCTCAGAGGCGCGTCCCGCCCCACCCAGCACTGCCTGCCTTTCCCACCCGCCCCAGGCCCTCGTGGCTCTCGAGTGGCGACCTTGAACTGTCTTTGGAGCCGTGCTGCCCACAATGATGGGGCTCATGTCATTTCAAATGTTCTAGGGGCAGCATTTAAAGAAGGAAAGGGGACAAGGTAAGACCATTTTAATATTGTATCTCATTGAATGACATGTATGGTCATATTGCTAAAATATATACTTGATCTCAAAGTCATTAATGAAATTTTAAACTAAGTTTTGAATACCAAGTTTCCAGCATCTGGTGTCCGTTTTGCTTTCCTTACGGGCGGGCCATTTTCACGAGCCTCCCGTGGTTGGGGCCACCGCGCCCAACAGCGCAGCCCCGGAGACCCAGAGTCCTATGGTCTTCAGAGCGCCCCCTGGAGGAGGCGCTGTGTGGGGCGAGGCTGTGGTGCTGCAGAGAAGCCATCCTTGGTGTCAGGGGAGAGGAGCTGGCTGCTAAGCGCCAGTGGCTGTCACCATTGGAAACCACGGCGCAGGGCCCAGTCGAGCAATGGGGGTGATTTCACACCCCCTGAGCTCTTACACCCAACGGGCCACGAAATTCGGCTGCTCCCGTGCTGAGCAGCAGGGGACAGACTGCCACCCGACACAGTCACCTCTCTGCTCCTCTGAAAGGCAGCTTTTATTTTGACTGGCTTCATGAAACGGCTCCGAAGGGCCCAGGGGAAACTCCGAGGGGTAATTCCAGTCGCACGATCGGGCTGCCCCAGGCTGGGAACGACACCGACCACCCCCAGCCGCTGCAGAGACAGCGGACGGGCACAGGGAGGAGTGTCCACTTACTTTTCATGTGGGTGGTGACGGACAGGAATAAGTTTTCCACGGACTTATTGAATCCCCTGGGCTGACTGAGTTCCTGCAGCTAAAACAGAGATGGGAGGAGAGAGGAGGAGAGTTACGTGGGATGCCCCGTGTCTGTCCCAGGGGCCTCCAGGCTGCCGCCCCCCCAGCACTGGAGGCAGGTGCTTGGGGTGAGCACATGGGTGCGTCTGGGTGTGGGTGCTCGGGGGTGTGTGTGTGTGTGTGTCTGGGGTGGGGAGGGCTGTGTCCTCTCAAGGGGCTGCTGTCCCCCCGACTCCGCTCTCCTCCTCTGAGCTCTGACACCGTGGTAAGGGGAGGGGCTTCATCCAGGGGCTGTCCACAAGGAAATACTGAGCTCTGAGAAACAGTGACTGACGTTTGGTTGTCTTAAAGAGTGTCCCCGAGCAACCTGCTTCTCCCCCCCACCCCAAAGCCACGCAGAATGTGCGTGTGACACGGTCGACAGTGGTACCCGCACGAGGTGGCCAGCCTGAAGCCACGGGCTAGTTCTGCCTCCAAAAGTGGAGAGAGAAGGAAAAAAGGAAAGAAGAAAGAAAAGGAGAGAGAGAAAATTACTTTCCTCTGCAAGTCTCATCCATCTGTCCATCTGTCCATCCATCCATCCATCCATCCATTCATTATCCATCCATCAATCTAAACATCCATCCATCTGTCCATCCATCCATCTAAACACCCATCTATCCATCCATGTGTCCATCTATCCATCCATCCATCCATGTCCACCCATCCATTTGTCCACCCACGCATTCATTCATCCACCCAATCCTTCCATCCATCTGTTCATCCATCCGTATATCTGTCCATCCATCCATATGTCCTGAACACACTGGTGCTCGAATTGCTCTGGAGAGTTTGAAGTCTCAAGGAGCAAGTACAGCAGGGTTTTGAAGGCACATTTTCTCTCGCCAGCAGGGGAACGTGTCCTTCTGCACACAGTCGTCCCTCGCATTCCGAGGATGCCAATAGTAACGAAAATAACCCAGGCCACACGTCTCCGTGGCGGCGTAGTTTGCAAGCACCGGCAGGGGCATCGTTCCTTTCACGCCTCACACCAGTCACGGAGGGGGGGCCAGGTGCGTGTAACCAGGCCCACCTCCGAGGGGGGAACCCAGGGAACGCTGGGGACTAGTTATATTGGGCAGAAACGGTCCTGGCCTGCACCCGCACCTGCAAACAATCAGAAGACACACACGTATCTCCAGAGGCGCCCCACTCTCAGAGACCAGGGCATCAGCGTACCCCCCTTTGCAGGACCCGAGCCCCGGCAGAGCCCACACTCAAGGGCACGGGGCCCACAGAGGGAAGAGATAGGGACAGAGTGCAGGTGAGGACGTGGGGTGCAGGTGAGGACGTGGGGTGCAGATGAGGACGTGGGGTGCAGGCAGAAGATGAGTCTGTTGTTAGTGCAGATGGCCCTGGAGTCCCCCAAGCCCAGCAGCAGCACAGACACTGGGCGGAGCCACGCTCTGTCCTACCCCAATCGGCCCTTTCATTCTCTGCGTCGCTCATGACGGGTCCAGCTCATGGGTGGCTCCCTCTACCATGAGGCCCTCCACCCAACCTCCCAGCCCCCCTTTCCTCCCAGGGACACCCCCAGAGCGGACACCTTACCCTGCCAGGGCTGCTGCTGCACCAGCTCTCACTGAGTGGAGGCGGGGTGGGAGGGACCACGGAAATTTTGCTGCTGAGGAAAAGCACAGGAATGGGAAATGGGCTGTAAACAAGGTAAGAGCGCCTCGCAAACACACAGGATCCGTCCCATCCTCTAAATCAAGTTCTCTACGTTTGGCGTTTTGTCTTTTGTTTTACTTCCTTATTTTTGAGCAGAACGCCCCTTGGACCTGCTGCTGGGTGGAGAGCGTGAAGACCCGGGACCTGAACGTGGAACCGGACAGCGTGCAGACCAGGGGCGCGCGCGTGCCACGACAGCTGGCGGGCTCGGGGGCCGGCGGGCGGCCGGGCTGCTCTGGAATGCAGACGCCGCGCGCATGGTGTTCCATATGGACGCGCTTGTCTTCTCAGCGGAAACCACACGGGCGGGAGCGCCAGAAACTCCGCGGACGTAAAAATCGACCTCGAGAGGAGTTACTGGGGCTGGCCAGAAAGTGTGCTTGTTTTTTTTCTCTATGACGGCTCTGGTAGCGCTTGGTTGTCTTTAACTTCACTAGAAACAATTTTGTTAGATTGTATTGTGATAGCTGTCATGTCAGTGTGTGTTAAAAAAAAAAAAACTTATTAGCCCTGGCTGGCGTAGCTCAGTGGATTGAGCGCGGGCTTGCAAACCAAAGTGTCGCAGGTTCGATTCCCAGCCAGGGTACATTCCTGGGTTGCAGGCCACGGCCCCCAGCAACCACACATTGATGTCTCTCTCTCTTTCTCCCTCCCTTCCCTCTCCAAAAATAAATAAATAAAATCTTTAAAAAAAAGCCTTATTGACATTGGTGAATTTTTGTGCAGTCATTTTAATATTGAAAATGAAAGGAAACACATAACACTTTCAGCATATTACGCCTTATTTTTTCAAGAAAGGTTGAAATGTAGAGGAAAGATGTGTGCATTTGTGCCGTGTATGGAGAAGGCGCTGTGAGTGACCAACTGCGTCCAAAGTGGTTTGCGAAGTTTCTTGGTACTGTTGACATTTTGGCCAAATCATTCTCTGCTGTGGGCCTGCTGTCTCATGAACCAGAAGATGTTCAGCAGCACCCTGGCCTCTCCCCACTAGAAGCCAATGGCGGGAGACAGCTGACATCCTCAAAACATCCGAATCAACCACGTTATTGGTGAAAATGAAGAATGTGTCTTTCAGTTTGAGGAAAAAACTAAACAGACTATTTGGCCAATCCAGTAGAAGCTTGTGCGAAAAGAAGTCAGGGAAAAGTGTGGAGTAAAAAAAAAATGAAAAAGTCCTGAGACTGGAAAATCTCACCGTGGCCAAAAAAAAAGAACTGCTGGGGGAGGGCGGAGCTTCCAGTAACCCTCAGTAAATCCGGAGGAACCAGGTGTGCGTACACCGCCTGCGTCCAGAGCTCCAGGGGTGCGGGAGTCTGGGTAATAGATCTAACACCCTCTGGCCCTGATTCAAGTCCACCAGTGTTTGTCCCACAAGTGTCTCCTCGAGTCAGGCCTGGGCAAGATGCTGGGGAGACGAATGATTCATAAATGCAAGGGCTGGGTTTAGAATTTCGCTTACCGTGCCATCAGAAATAATAGTTTGTTTTCTTATGACACTTCAGCAGAATTTAAGAAACAAAGTGTGTAGTGAGAAAAGACTACGCTAGCTTCTAGAAGAGTTTTCACAAGAACTTGAAAATATCTGCTTCAATTTTTTCCAGGCACCTAATCATTTAAAAAAAAATTACATTCCAGAGCAGTGACCTCTGAAAGTCAAGAGACCGGCCACTTCTCGAGCGGGGCCTTCCTGTCCCAGGGCCTGCGGACCCAGGACGGCCTGTCTTTCCACAAAACTCACCTCAGTTCCTGATAAGATTGCAAGAGCCTTGCTCCCGCGGTCTCCTGTCTGCCTGCAAGAGATACCAGGAAAGGTCAGGACTAGTAAGAACATAACTTAGAGGATGCAAGTACAGGAAGCAATACATTACAGTGACTCTTTTTCTAGTTTCACTTCTTACAACGAACACGTAAGACGTTGGGCTGACAATGACGCCGTGAGGTTGGATCGCAGTGATGGCTGCGTGATTGTAAATTTACTGAAAATCATTATTCACTTAAAGAAGTGAGTGTGATACTTCGTGAAGTACGCTCCACTGAAGCCGCTGTCACACACACACACACACACACACACACACACACACAAATGCACACGGGAAAAGGCCCTCCGTGCTAGGAATGGCGGCTCTTATTAGAAGCTGGTGTTGGAGTCAATTTTCTAAATCCAGAGAATCTGAAAAGTAGTTCGGGCTTCCAAGCTTCTCTTTGTTCTTTGGAAATATTGTATAACTGAATGACTGACTAGATCCCTTTAAATGGTCCTTGTTCTGGAGATTAAATTAATCTTTTAAAAAATGTAATCTACTTATCCCTAGCCATAGAGGCTCATTTCCCAAACAAGGCAGCATCCAGTATAGTGCCCTTTTTGTTTCAGGGAGAGGGGATTGATGACGTATTAAGGCCCCCAAAATAAAACTTCGAGTGCTCAGAGTTGGGTGGCCACAGCGTTTCCTGGCCCAGCGCAGAGGGGGAGGCCAGAAGGCGGAGCCCCTGCTCAGGGCAACGCCCCCCGAGGGCCCACGCTGCTGATGCGCACACCAGAATCGCCCCGGCCTGCAGTCCTAGGATGTCCCTCTAGCCCCTGCTTCCCTTGTTCTGTTTTTCTTTTTTTCAGTTTTTTAAATTTATTTTTAGAGAGGGAAGGGAGAGAGGGAGGGGGAGGGGGGGAGAGAGAGAGAGAAACATCTCTCGTGTGCGGTTGCTGAGGGCCGTGGCTTGCAACCCAGGCATGTGCCCTGACTGGGAATCGAACCTGCTATGTTTTGGTTCGCAGCCCGTGCTCAATCCACTGAGCTACGCCAGCCAGGGTGTTCTGGAGGTTTTAATCCACTCCAAAGAAAGGTGTGCCTTAGAGCCCTCTCCAGAAGACAGGAAGGGGGGCAGGGCCAGAATCAGGACCAGCAGGAGGTTGCGAGGGGGCGGGCAGCATCTGATACTAAGCTGAGAGGCAGCTGACCCCCAGCCCACCAGCTGACCCTGACCTGTGCAGCCCCATGGTCCTCAGCTGGGAGGGGCTCGGGGAGGGCCAGGTGCAGCCACCGTCTCAGATTCTGAGCCTACCTGCCCGGGCACATTTTTCTGGGGTTCCTGGCAGTGACCCTTAGATTCTAAAAGGAGGCCGTGTGCCCTCCCCCGGTGACACACAGTCCTCAAGACAGAGCCAAACCGGCAAAGCCAGCTCGCGGGGGTGACGGCGCCTCTGCAGGGGCCCCCGGGAAGAGAAGGTGTAGGCCAGAGGCACAAAGACAGCCAGCCACCGCTGCTGCATCATGGTGGTGGTGACAGCACAGGAAAGGGGGAAAAAATAGTGACATTGCTTATCCAGCCGGCCCCGGGCGACAACACAGAACCCAGGGCACAGTGAGTCCCAGCCCTGAGCCCTGCCGCGGCTGGGCTGTGTCACGGTGCCCTGCGGCTGCTCTGCCCTCACCATCATCATCATCATCATCATCATCATCATCATCACCCTGACCCTGGACTGTTTGCTACAACAGCGTCCCCGAGGCACAGCCGCCAGAGGTACAGCCGGCCCCCAGGTGCGATGCTATCACTCTACTGCCTGAGGCCCTCCAGCAGCCCTACTGCCTTGTCGAGGGTCCGAGCCCTGCGATCCTGGGCCCCCACACCCCGCCTGGGCTCCCCTCTGCGGCCGGCTTCCCACCCCCTGCGGGCCTTGTCTTTTCTGCTCCAACAACAGAAGGGCTTCTTACTGCCCTACTCACCCTGGGCCTTGCTCACTTACTGCTACTCACCCCCACTTCCTCTCGTGGGAACTGCCCACGCGCTTCCACCTGTGCGGTATCTCCGCCTTAAACTTCATCTTAGCCCCCCTCCGCCTCATTTCTGAATACCCCACCTGAGGTCCAGGGAGACCTGGCTCCCAACTGGCGGGGGAAACAGCTCTCTGCTGCCCCCTGCTGGCCACTGCACCCTTGGGCCCCTGGGGTGGGTGCACCCTTTTTGTGAAGGTCAAGAGTAACCACTGTCCCAAGTTCGTAACTGCCCTGTGACACCGGTCACAGACGATGTTACAGGGAGGGTGTGTCTATGTGCTGACAAAACTTGGGGACACTGAAATTTGCATTTCATATATCTTTTATGTGTCACAAATATTCTTTTCACTTTTTGGACGTTTCAAAATGTGAGACCCAGTCTCCGCTCGCAGAATGTACAAAAACAGGCAGAGGGACAGGTCTGGCTGCGCGGGTCTCAGTTGGCCCCCCAGTCCTTGCACCTCCGGGTGTGGGGCGGGGGCTCCCCCAGCACTGGTGGGGGGGCTGGGCAGCGACGTGGGGCCCCGCCCCCGCCAGCCCTCCCTGCGGATCCGAATCTCCCGCCCTGTCTCCAGAAGCTCCGCCCACGCGGCTCTGCCCCGCTTCACCGTTTATTTCCCTTTTCCTTCTCGTCTGTTCCTCAGTGGTCTCTGACCAGAGGCCTCCTTAACAGCAGTGAATATTGACTTTTGTTAACATTTCTAAAATAAATTCTTGTAACTACGGGGAGGAAATGCTCAGAGAAGGGTGTCCCGCCAGGTCCCCCGGAGGCGGGGGCGGGCTGCTAGGCAGAAGGCCCCCACCCAGCGCTGCTCCGGCCGCGGGGTTAAGGAGGTAGCTCTCCTAGGCACCGCGGCACAGCAGGGCCCCGGTGGGAAACCAGGGTCCCAGGCCACTTGCCGGAAGGCCCCGCTGACACTCACGAGCCGCTGACTGCACGGGGTCGCCACCAGGTGTCGCCCCAGTGTTACCAGTGAAAACCGAGGCTCAGAGACCCGAAGTCACAGCTTACAAATGACACCGCCTCTTGCCTAAAAGCCGGGCACACAGGAGGCCCGGGGGTGGGGTGGGGGTGACAGCGACCGCAGAGAAATGGGGTGATGGATGGGTGACCGGTGCATGGGGGGTTGCATTCTACTCACGCTCGTGTTTAAAAGTTTCCGTGATATAAAACAAGAGGAAACACACAGGCGCATAAACCGACGACGGAGCGACCCTGCCCTGGCACGTCTCTCCGGGTGACGCTGCTCCCAAGGAAGAGGGAACGGCGCCTCGGTCACCCGGCCCGACCCTGGCGCTCTCGGGGGACTGGGGGGCCTCGAGTCCTGCCCAGGGGGATCTCGGTGGTGAGTCTTCTTCCCAGACACGGCCCCTATAACTTCCCCTCCTACTGTCGGTCCCCAAGCAGCTCGTCATAAGGGGAATCACACCCCGACAACAGCAGCGCTAACGGACCCAGCCACGGAGCAGGCATGGCTGCGCCGATGGCCCTGCCCCCCGGGTGCCCAGGGAGCAGAGCCGCATCCTGGGTAGGAAACCAGACCCTGGAGGCCCAGGTGTGGCCCAGAGCAAAGCACAGGCAGGGTCCCCGCATGGAGCCAAAGGGCCCCTTCCTCGAGGTGGCTTACCTGCACCCCTAGGGGCCAGCTGTAATGCACAGTGCGTGTCAGAACACCCCATGCTGCATCTTCCAGAAGAACGCACACACGGGTGCAGGGTGTCGGCGCCTTCCCTTCCCCTCTAGAGATAATATGCCTGGGAAACACAGCTGAAGACCCCCTCCAGTAGGCTCTGCCGAATGGTCCCTGCAGAGCCACCTGCCGAGGTCAGGGGCTGGGGGGTCTCGCCCGAGTCCTTGCAGGAAGCGGACGGGTGATAGATGCGGGGCCTCTGCTGGCGTCACTAACAGTTACTGCTCTGAAATTCATGGCCCTGAGTGCCTGAAGGCCACCCGGCCAGCCGGCTGCTGTCCCGACAGCCCTGTGATCAGACGGACCGTATCCAAGCTGCCCGTGTAAACGAATAGAACTCTGAAAAGTCACTTGAGAGACTAAATCACATGCACTCCCGGGAGGAGGCAATAGTGGTTACTGTCCTTCCCGACGATCAGACAGAGTAGCGTCCTGGGTGGTTAGGTGATGGGCCACCATCCACCATCAGAGGCTCTGCTGGGGGGCAGCCCTCCCAAATTACTGCATTTCCCCAATCACGGCAAAGTAAAAGCCGCCGTAGAGCGTTTGTACATTACATTCAAGCAGCTTTAACTTGAAAAAGTATTCATATTGAAAGTATTAATATCGTCATCTTTCTGCTTTGAAGCTCAAATACCGAGCAATAAATGTCACGGTTGTAAAATACTGTAAAATATGAGCACTTACAGCAAGGAGCCAGAAGGGGGCACTATCTTTACATGCTTAGCAAACACCAAGGGAATGACAATAAAGATGGGTTTGCATTTTCAGTTTTCTAGGTATCGGTGGTGGAGAAAATGACCACGGCAACTGTGCATTAACTTTGCTGCCTCACCAGGGGCTCTCAGACTTGAAGTGCATAAAAAGAATTACTTGGGAACTTGTTAAATATACACTCTTGGGTCCCACCCGGTTCCACTGAGTCAGGAACTTTAAATTTAAGATTCTCCACAGCTGACCCTGGGGCCTGGGTCCCAGAAGCCCCTGTGGGGACTGCCTGAGGCGCCCGACAACACTGGGCGCCCGAAGACACGTCTGCAGACCCCACAAAGGTCGCTACCTTCGGTCCTTCCGGTGCACCACGGAAAAACCACAACTACGGCACAGAAGGAACTGTTGAAAGATGACAACACTAAATAGTGAATTTTAACATCTTAGAGGAAGAAAAGCCAGTCTATAATCAGAAAAAAGAACTTTCTTAAGGAAAGTAAAATATTTAAAATACTTTATATACCACCTCTCTGCAAAATAAAGAATTTTATTTCAGTTTTTCTTGTTTTTAAATCTTCTTTAACAGCTGGAAAATTAGCACAACAAACTGCCACAGTT